ACATGTTAAAAGTGTGAATAATCTTGTCATTTGGAACAAATCTCCTTAATGTGCATGTCATACTTGAATCCCTCTTTAATTAACGTGGCCTTACCTTGTGGCAAAGGTGCATTAGTTCCTATTTTCTGATTGCCTTTGAGGGTTGCCTCAGAGTTGATGAAGCCAATAAGGGCTGTCCATTGATTTTCAGACTCAAGGACAGACACCAGCACAGCTCCAGACATGTCCCCAGGACCAACAATTTTCAACAGTGCGATGGTCGGGACCAAGATGAAACGCATGAAGGAGTAAGTACTGTGTGGCCTGACCCCTAGGAGAGTGCAGTATTAGGACACAGTGACAAAGAGTGTGATTCATGATGTGATGCTATTCTACTTGATCTCCACAAAAATAGCAGCTAGGTTTTCCTGGATGCAACAGTGAATGGAATGTGCGCAAGCTCAGTGGAAAAGACCTGAATCTGCATCAAAAGCCCCTGCTGTGGCTTAATGTATCCCCTCCCTCTTTAGAGTTCATATGTTGGAATCCTAACCCCAGTGTGAAAACATTTATATAGTTTGTTTGTTTGTTTGCTTGCTTTGTTTGTTTGTTTTTTGGTATGCACAAAGAAATGCCAATTCTCTGGGAAAATGTCGTGAAGTTATAGAGTATAAAAGCTGTCCATTTACCATCCTCCAACACTTGGCTTCCTGTCACTGGCCACTTCTTACTCCTGCTGAGAAAGCACTCCACAAATGAAATTCCCCTGCTGGGGCACAGGCCGCACTCAGCTCCCAGCAGTTTTCAGGTGATGCTCTCAGCAGTTGTCAGGTGGTGCCACTCAGAGTCCTTGGAATGTCAGCAGCATCGCAAGGAATCAGCACTGACTTCCTTTCTGACTAATTTCCATGTACACTTGAAGAGAGGTTGCTTTTTATTTATGGATAGATGGGTGGGTGGATGGATGGATGGATGGATGGACGGATGGATGGATGGATGGATGGATGGATGGACGCCTTTGTGGCCTCAAGGGCCTCCCGGAGCCTCTACCTTCAAGGGCAGGGCTTTCCGGCTTTCAGTTGAAAAGGGCTTTCTTTACCACCACGAGCTGGAGTTGATTCCAGCCCTGGCTCTAGACTTCCTTCCNCAGGTCAAGCCGTTGATCACCATCTTAGCTGTAGAGGGCAGCGTCACTGGCCCTCATGTGGGATCTCAACTGGGGCCCTGCTGCTCAGAGCTCCTAACCAACGCGCCACTTGGCCGGCCCTCCTCCTGCTCTTTGAACAATGGGCTCTGCATTGTCATGTAGCTCTGGGCACCACAAATTATGTATTGGCCTTGCTACTCAAAATGGGATCCCAGGACCAGCAGCACTGGTATCACCTGGGAGCTTATTACAAATGCAGAATTGCAGGCTCCCCCATACCCACTAAATCAGAACCTGCTGCCTGGGCAGGCAGGTCCAAGATGGCAGCATAGGAGGATGCCCTGGGTGATTCATATCACATGAAAGCTTGAGATGCACTTGTCTAGGACACACTAGGATTCAGTGATCTAATAGTGAATTTTGTGATTCCAGCCCACTTGTTTTTATCATGATTGCCAAATGTGTTGCCCCTTTCTTTAACATAAGGCAACTGCTGTTTGTGTTGGAAAGCGGGATGGAGAGGGAAATTCTGGCCGATAAGAAATACAGGAAAAGGAATTGCTCTTTGCACCACGCTTTGCCAGCCCTGGTGCTTAAAATTCTACTTGCCGTATTGTCTACTCTGGGACTCGAGGTTTAGCATCTTTCCTAGCAGCGCTGAGAGCCTTACTGAGGGCGCCAGTGGCCAGATTAACTTAAACTGCAGTTCCTGGAAAGTGCTATGGCCTTTATTTGCATAAATTTTCAGCTCTCTCTGGAAGAGATGGAAAAACAGCACCTTCCTTTCATTCTTGGCAGAGCTAATTTTTGCGCTTGTATGTTACTTGGCATGGTGTGGTTGGTTATTGTTTTAATAACATTCCAGGTTCTAGGAAAGATGATTATAAGAAGCAGCCAACAAGATGGGCCGGCC